GGTTTTACATTTCTCACAAGTTCACCAATTTCCACAAATTACTAACAATTTTATTAAAATCTTTATCTTGTGAAATGCAGGATGCCATTGAGAAGCTCTTGATCTAAATATGATGCACATAAGGGCTTACTTTAGTATACTAAACTAAGAACCCGACTACTAGTCATTGTATATAAATGGCATACTGAATCACCAAAAAAGAACCCATGAAAGCAACTAAAACTCCATATGGCTAAGCTGCAGATTGATGTTTATTAATAGCATACTTCAATTGTAGCAAAGATAAAATGTCAAAAAAAATCTTTGTTCTTTTTCTCCTTTATTTGGATATGAGACAGCAAGATATGCTGGTCAAAAGGCATTTTGAATGTAGGATCTGGGAGACTATAGCTTGCCCATATCATCACATTTAAAATATTTGATTGAAGTAGTTCCAACAATTTGAGATGATTACAAACACTAGAAACATGTACATTGTTGGGAAACTAGAAAATGTAACGAGTATGGCCACAGGATGTTAACTAACCTAAATAATCAAAACCCAAATCACAAATTCACAGATTATCAATAATAGCAAATCAAACCCCAAATCACAAATTCACAAATTACAATATTAAATCTGTAAATCACCAATTAATATATACATAAATCACAAATCAATCCATAAATGTACTAAAACTCAGAAAAAAGAGAGAAGAAATGGCTCACAAGTCACATGAGCCGACAACACTCAGGCGGAAGTCACGGATAGATGGACGATAACGATTAGGGTTGAAGAAAGCGAAGGGGATTTGGGGAAAAAGCGAGATAAGAGGGAGGAAAAAGAGTAGGTACTAGGGAAGAAGAAGTTATATGGAAACGTTGAATGAAACGAGGGAAAGTAAAAGGGGGGAAATATGGACGGCATTTACGGCGTGCATATGTGTGCCGAAATAAGTGAAATTTATTTCTTCTAACACGGCATGCCCCCAACAAGCACGTCGTAAAATCTCACATTTACGGCGTGCGATTAATGTACGCCATAAATGGTTTTAGTAGTTGATTTTCCACAGCTTACATGATTAGCACGCCGTAAATAGAGTTTTTTTACGGCATGTAGTTAATGCACGCCGTAAATGTACGCCTTAAAATGCTCCTTTTGTTGTAGTGTAAAACCTTCTTAAAAAATATGACTCAATCATAATATGCTTCTTCTTTAAATTAATATTTATTTGGGTTTCATCTCTAAATTTTCTTAATAATATTATAAGAAGTTCTAGCGTAATTTTACCATCATGCAATAAAATATTATTCAATTTCACTAAAGCATCTCCAAAAGACTTTCTGTTTATAAAGAGCATCTTAAGCATAATAGAGAGTGATTTTTTTGATACACTCCAAAAAGCTTTCTATTTTGATTCTTTATTTTATTTTTTTCAATGAACATTTAATAATTTCTCTACATATTTTATTTAAATATAATTTTTTATATATATTAGTGACCAATCAATTCAAATGTAATTTGAAAAATTTTAATTGTAGAGTATTAAAATTTGTAATGTATTAAATGCAATCATTGTACATTAAGAATAGAGAGTGAGTTTAGATATTTAAATTTGGAGAGTCAAAACACACTCTCTAATTTAAAAAGTTAAATTAGAGAGTTTCTTCGAACTCATTTTTAAGCATTAACTCTCTAAAATAGAGAGTATTTTGTATTTAAAGAGTCTTTTGGAGATGTTCTTGTTGCTTAAAGATCTTCTTTCATGAAACGGGTTTTATAGTAGATATGTAGTGCATTGAACAATGTACAATCCATTTTTAAAGAAAAGCTAGCTTGAATAAAAGATAGAGAAAAATATTAAATGTATTTTGAGAGTAGTAAAATTAAGTTTTAAATATAAAGAGCTTGTTCAAGTACTTTAAAATTTTAACTCTCTAAATATATAGATGCTCTTCAAGCGAGAGAATATACTCTTTAAAAATAGAGAATCTTTTCGAGATACTCTTAATTCGTAAAACAAGAAACTAAATATAACGTTAAACAAAATAAAAAGTTCCTTGATAATTTAAGAAGTTCTTAATTAAGCAATAAATTAATAATTATAAATTAATATCAACTTATCAATTATTTAATATTCACCAAATTAATAGATTACATTTGGTTCCAAGAATATTAATGTTATAATAATGCTATGTTGGAGTATTAAATTTAAGTATTAAATATAAAGAATTTGTTGGCTTATTTCAAAATTTTAACTCTCTAAATTTATAAATGCTCTTCAAGTGATAGAATATACTCTTTAAAAATACAAAGTCTTTTCGAGATACTCTTAGTTCATGAAACGATAAACTAAATATAAAGTTAAAGAAAATAAAGAGTTCCTTGATAATTTAATAAATTATTAATTAATTGATAAATTAATAACTATAAATTTATATTAACTTATCGATTATTTAATATTCACCAAATTAATAGACTACATTTGATTCCAAGACTATTGATGTTAAAATAATGTTATGTAGTGTTACTAGGGTTACAATCCCAATTTAGGTGGCACTACATGATTGGTTAAATGAAAGGTAAAAATTAAACGAGTCATTTAATTATATTTATCAATTAGGGTGTGTTTGATTACATTTATTTTTCATGAAAAATATCAGTTTTTCACCTAAATTTCCACTTAGAGTGTTTGATTGCTATTTTTTTTCATGGAAAACATTTTCCAACTTTGGAAAACATGCCTAATTTTCCTTGTTTTTAAGGAAAATATTTTCTTTGGGTAAAGGTGGTTTTTATTTTCCACAAAAGAAGGAAAACATATTCTTTTCTAGGTGATATTTTCCATGTCAATCAAACACACTCTTAATGTTATATTAGCGCCAACTAAATTGTAGTTGCAATCCAAGTAGGGCTAAAGAGCATTATAGAGGTTTAATTGTATGTACAAAATGTGAGTGATCCCCATATTACGTGACATTAAATGATAATATTACTAAAGTAAATCTCATATTCAAATATTTAATTGATATTATAATTTCGCTCTCCATTTGATCACATCATATATCATATGAGGATGATTTTAATTTGTATGTATAGCATTATTCTTTATAAAACTTTGCTAATAGTGATAGGATAGGGACACATAATTACCCAAATGCTAACTTTTCGTGCAATTCAAACACTCCCTTGGAAAAATCAACGGTGTCAACGTTAGAAAAGAAAATCCCCCTCTCATATAATCCCTCCGTCCCAATTAGATAGATTGAGTTTTCATTTTCTATTGTCTCAAATATATAGGTATATTTTCTAATTTAAAATATTTTATTTTGTTTCTTTACCAAATATACCATTGTTCAATTTCCCCCACTTAATGTGCCAACTTCTTGAAATCATCCAAATACACACATTTTTCACTTCTTGGAAACATAGAACAACTCTCATTTCTTCTTCTTCAAATTAAATCATTCAAATTTTTTACTAATTCTAACAATAATTTACTATAAACATACTGAAGATTAAATAGGGATAAACTAGGAAAAATATTGACAAAAATTAATCTTTCAATGACATTAAAGAAGATTTTTTAATCCACGTGAAAAACGAAATAAGCCTATATAATTGAAATGGAGGGAGTAAAATCATTCAAATTTTTTACTAATTCTAACAATAATTTACTATAAACACATTGAAAATTAAATAGGGGTAAACTAGGAAAAATCTTGACAAAAATTATTCTTTCAATGACATTAAAAAAGATTTTTTAATATACGTGAAAAACGAAATAAGCCTATATAATTGAAACGGAGGGAGTAAATAGTTCCTGGCATGGTTAGCTTTAATACTCTTTATGGCATTTTAAAATTCTTCTAGGCATATACTTAGGAGGAAAAGTGTAAAATATTTCTACATTAATGAACAATGATTTAAGCTAACGAGACAGGATTAAAATCATAATTTTAATAGATTTTGACAAAAAGGTGATGAAGTGTATCATTGAATTGTTGTGGATAAATATTTGGTTAAAATTAATTATTGTCTTCAATTGACATTCAAATCTAGATTTCAATCTTTACCAAATGTGGATTAACCAAAAGAAGTTTTTATTCAAAGTATAGCAATATAGAGAGCAAATAGATGTAAAGATGCTCAAGAGGGAAATTTAAGAAAATGGGGTATGAAATGAGCAAATAAAAATAACATTACATAATTTACGTTCCACACACACATTACTATGAAAAGTATTCCCTCGCAATACTTTAAAAAAGTGACAGTAAATATTTGACAATTAAAGTTAATAATAAGTTACTTATTTGAATCTTATAATGATACTTTAAAAAATTAACATTTTTATTTAATAAATATTTTTGAAAATAAAAATTCAGTTAAAAGTAATTTTTACCCTCTTAAGCTTAGCATAATAAGTTACTTATGATATTTTAAAAAAATTAACATTTTTACTTAATAAATATGTTTGAAAATAAAAATTCACTTAAAAGTAATTTTTACCCTTTTTAAGCTTAGCTAAACATGCTCTGAAGAATGAGATTTTAAAAGGGTATTGTACAATCTCAATATTAATGATTTTATTTTCATTTTATTTTGTACTTCCTCGTTTCATTTATGTAGAGTTGTTTCTTTTTTTCACACGAATTAAGAAATCTTATTTAATGTTATAGGAAAAATATTTTTTGTCAGAAACTTTCTAATTCTACCCTTATTTATGTTTGTACAATTTTAAGATTAAATGGAAAAAAATGATTATAACTAAAAAATTAAATAGGAGTATATTAGTAAATAAACAAAACAAAATATTTTTAATAAAGAAATATGACTATATAATTAGGATAAGCAAAAAAAAAAAAAATATCAACCGAGTGGAAGAAATATAAATTAGCATCTGCATCCCCGGTGTAAAACTTCTATAAATATTTGTTTACAGCTGATCTTGTCTAGTTTATTGAGGCCGAGAAATAAATGCATAAAGTACTCGTGCTCCATGATCAGGTTGTAATTAAAATAATATTAAAAATCTCATAGCTGGATGTTGTGGACTAATCGCTTGGGAGAAATTTGCTATTTTGTACATCAGAGATTCATGTAGCGTAACTGTTAAATTATGATAACAGTAATTTCTGACTTATAAACTTGCCAATATTTCAGAATATATTTCTCTTGCACAGTTGAATTGACTGTTCTTTTCAAGAATTTTCCTCGAGGATCGAGGGGTTAAGAAAGTAACCTCAACAACTCCAAGGAATTATAATACATGAAGCCAACAACGTTTTAGGAGTTTGCTTCAGAGTTCAGAATCAAATCAAGAATATCAAAATGAAAAAAGTCTTGGAGATAGGCCATTTTGCTCAGGTTTTTATTTAGCATAAAAGCTTCAACGAGTACTTTTTTTTTTCTTTCCAGATTTGCTTCAATAGGGTTCATCGTAATTCCCTCGTTCTCTTCCAACAGCTGTTTGAGATACACATTACTGTGTATTTCTGCCTTTTTCTACTCAAGTTTCATAAATTTCGTTCTGGGTATATTAAGATATGAATTTTTTTTCCCCGTTGATTTTTGCAACAAGTTGAAAATAAACATTGAAATATATGTATGTGGTTCTTTCTTTTGAAGATCTTTATGTTTGTGGCACATATTGAATTTGGTTTGCTCTTCTAGTTCTTATAAAATTGGTTGGGGATTATTTAGGGTTTCTTTAGTTTTAGCTTAAATTTTGTTTGATTGAGCAAAAGGGGTGTGAAATTTAGTCTAGTATTTGTATTTGGATTTGTGAGATTTCTTGATTTTGGGAAGGTTGGATGATATGGTAGACTATAAACCTACCATCTCAGAGATGGAAACAGAAGAAGAAATGATTGCTGCTGCGAAGCAAATTGTGAAGGCTCTTGAAATGAACAAGAATTTGACAGATGATGCTAAGAAAATTTTGGCGAATCTAGGCATGCAGTTGTGTGATATAACTAGAGAGAATGAACACAAAGATGAGAGTGTTCAAGGAAAGGAGGGACTTAATGAGATTGAGAGGCAGCTTAATTTGATACAGGATAAGGTTTTGCATTGGGAGAGGGATCAGTCGATTATATGGGCGTGTGGCCAGAAAGAAACTTATGAGTATTTGAAGGCTGTGGATGAAGCTCGAAAGTTGACTGAGAGTTTGGAGAGTTTGAGCCTAAATAATGATAGTGAAGACGCGACACTTCTACATAGGGCTCATGATGTTCTACAGATGGCGATGGCAAGGCTAGAAGAGGAGTTTAGGCACTTGCTTGTTCAGAATAGGCTGCCTTTTGAACCGGAGCATATGTCTTTTCGTTCGAGTGAAGATGATATTATGGAGGCAGGGTCCGTAATCTCGTCCGGGGATGATTCACTTGAAGATGTAGTTCAAAGAGATAGTATAAGCCGAGGTTCAGGGGAATACATCATCGAATTGGTACATCCAGATGTGATTCCGGATCTAAAAAGTATTGCCAATTTGATGTTTGACTCAAATTATGGTCGGGAATGTTCTCAGGCATTTATTAGTATCCAAAAAGAAGCTTTAGATGATTGCATTTACATCCTTGAAGTGGAGAAATTGAGCATTGAGGATGTGCTTAAGATGGAATGGAAAACATTGAACTCCAAAATCAGGAGATGGATTGGGGCTATGAAGATTTTTGTGCGGGTATACCTTGCAAGTGAGAAATTGCTGAGTGAAAAGATTTTCGGAGATCTTGAATCAGTTGGTTCAGTTTGTTTTGTTGAGTCATCAAAAACTGCAATTCTGCAACTTCTGAATTTCGGTGAAGCCATAGCCATTGGCCCCCATAAACCGGAAAAGTTGATTCGAATTCTTGACATGTATGAGGTGCTTGCTGTTCTTATTCCCGATATCGATACTTTATACTCAGATGACACAGGATCTTGTGTTAGAATTGAATACCTAGACATCTTAAGGAGATTGGGAGATTGTGCAAAAGCAACTTTTCTCGAATTTGAGAATGCTGTCGCCTCTAATGTATCGACTAACCCTTTCCCAGGTGGTGGTGTCCATCATCTCACTAAGTATGTCATGAATTACATCAAGACTCTTGCTGACTATCAGGAGACCCTTGACGTGATCTTCAAGGACCATGAGAGAGAGGATCCCTTTTCAGTTTCCCTCGACATGAGTCCAATCAGTGATGAGGAGAATATTGAAGGAAGCTCCTTGGTTTCTCCAATGGCTCAACACATCCAATCGCTCACTGCGATTCTTGAATGCAACCTTGAAGGCAAATCTAAACTATACAGAGATGATTCCCTACAGCACGTTTTCTTGATGAACAATATACATTACATGGCTGAAAGGGTGAAAGGTTCCAAACTCAGAACATTACTAGGCGATGGGTGGATTCGGAAGCACAATTGGAAATTTCAACAACATGAAATGAATTATGAGAGAGCTACTTGGAGCTCGATACTGTCTTTACTCAAGGATGAAGGGATTCAAAATCCAGGTTCAAATTCTATTTCAAGGACAATTCTCAAGGAAAGGCTGCAGAGCTTTTATCTTGCATTTGAGGAGGTTTACAAGAACCAGACGGGATGGTCAATCCCGGATAGCCAGCTTCGAGACGATCTTCATATTTCAACATCACTCAAGGTAATCCAGGCTTATCGGACTTTTGTTGGAAGACACATCAATCATATTAGCGAAAGGCACATTAAATACACGGCTGATGATTTAGAAGACCATCTCTTAGATCTTTTTGAGGGATCCCAAAAATCATTGCATGGTGGTCATAAGAAGTGATATTGAAAACAGTGTTGTGTTAGATTAAGGGATACTCTACCAACATGGTATTGAGATTTTTATTTTTATTTTTTAATTTTTTTAATTTTTTTCTGTTTTAAACAATCTGCCTGCTTTTTGGAATCTGTATTATAAGTGGTCGAAAGAACGCCATATTTTTTTAAACTTGTATTCATGTGTTTTGCTAATAGGAATTTGAAATTTTGAGCGTCTCACGACGTTACAAAATTGTTCCTCTGTTTGTTAATTTTCGTTGACACTTTATCACCATATATTAATTAAAATGGTCATCTTCTCTGGCATTGGTTTGCAGCTCCTTGTGATGTTTAATGAATGCTAGTTATGGAAAGTCTGCCTAGTTATATGAAGAGTAATGTTATTCGTAGTCGCTCACTGCGAAAGTCGCCGTATATGGCATACACATGGCAGGTGATTATTTGATGCATTAATGTGATAGTTTTTTTATTCATTAATGCATCAAATAACCACCTGCCATGTGTATGCCACGTAGGGCGACTGCCGCATTGAGCGACTGCAAATAGTATTATTCTTATATGAATGGTTTCCTTGTAATTGAATCCATCTTGAGCTGTTACAACTGGAAAATCTGCACAAGAACCGGAGAAACCTTGAAAATTTAAAAATAACTGGTTTTTCTTAAAATAAGACTGGCTGAGAATCATTCTTTTGGAAGTTACAAGGCACAAGCAATTGTAGCTTAATATGTTGAACTTTGTGGAGCACAATTATATAGTTCACTCATCCTTGACCATGTAATTTTAGTAGTTACTGGGCATTGCCTTACCTACAATATGTTAAGGTTCCTAATCTTACGACAGATGGAAGAGACGTGATGTAATTTGTGGGGACAGATGGATGGATTTTTTAACGTTGAAGGTGAATTACTATAAATTTTTGAGTTGCTTTGCGTTTTTCAAAATTAGTAATTACATATTGTTCCATGACATTGCCTGTTGTGGTTCTTTAGAGTTCTCCAATTAGAATGGCAAGAACATGATGGACATGGACTGTGACATGCCTTTAACTAGCCAACTTGTAATTGCTAATCATATTATGTTCAGATGGGATTTTCCAGCATTAATTCTTGTCGGTCCATTATAATCTGTTTAAGAACAGTTTATAACTGGCATTGATAAAGATTGTTATGTTAGATACGATCTTCATCACTAAAATTATGGCTGAGAGAAGCTTTTCAAGGCAAGATTTTATAAAAAGAAAGCTTGGGGAATGTCCATTTTCTTCTAGCTTGGGGAACCTATATTTTGTTGCTCTTATTTTTAATTTCTATCATTTGGCATTCTATTTAGTGGCAAATCTAGCACTGAAGTCCAACTAGGGCAAAGTTTGACCGTTATCCATTAATCGTCGACAATCAACGATCGTAAGAGTCAGGTCGTTTATTAAAATTTGATTAAATAATATTAAAAATTATTTAATATATATATAAATGCACTAAAACGTAAAAATTATATACATATGAAAATATAATTCAGTAAAACCCAAAATGCTAAAAAAAATATACGATACAACCTTTGCAACACTAACATCATTTATAGCTTTCATCTTATTTTAGTAAAGAATCAAAATACAATTTTTTCATGCTTTTTCCAAAACTAGTGTGGCAACGTGCGTTGCACATTAGTTGGTTTAGTTAGGTGCACGTTAATTGGTTTAGTTGGAACTGAACGTGAAGTATAAGTGTGTAGTAGTTGCTGAATAAATACATAGAACAAATGTGTTGGTGCAGTGATGAAGTGGAATAATTTGAATAAACACATATGCTTATATTTTAACTCCTATAGTATGAGAAGAAAATGAAGAAAAAGTTGACTTTTGTCATTTGGATCATTTGCCAAATTCCTAGCCTGTACTTAAAAGTAATAGCTTTTCCTTCACTCCTCTTCTAAATTCAATAGCACCCAATTACTCGGTCCTTCTACGAAAGAATTCAACATACCCACAACAACGACAAAATAGAAACAATCAAAATAATAAATAAAAATTGGAGATAATAAATGGGGTCAATGTTAAAGAAAAATACTTATTAAATCAACTGGATTGTAAGTCAACTTGTAACTATTTATTTAGCTAGCTTAAAAAGTAAAAACATATTGATGAGTAATAAAATTGGCAAAAGGATTACTCAGTAATATTTATACTAAAGAAACTATTTGAGAGCATAAATTTCGAACTTGGGAACTTTCCAATAGCTCAGGAAATTTTGAACTCAATAAACTATTTGAGAGGCCAATAGCTCAGTTTTCAATCTTTTCACCTCTTACAAAGAATTTGAGTTTGGTGTAAAAAGACATTTTATTCACTTCGCTTTTCCCTTTGACATAATTAATTAACTTTGAAAATCATGTTGACAAAAAATAATTTAAAAGTAAGACTTATAGAACAACAAATTACGCTATATTTCAAAGTCAGTAATGTAAAAATTGAAATAGATATTCTTGTGATAGAATAGGAACAAAGAGTCAATCTCAGTTGTTAAGAATTCTAGAAAATAATTATTTGTTTTGCAAAACTAAAATCGTGAATTGATAAATATAATAATCATTCAAGCTGCTATAATTCCCTACACAAAAGCTAATAAAATTAAATATTGGATAATTCTACATGTACTAATTCATAAGGATGTTCATAATGTACATGTGAAATTCCATGAGTGGAGGATCGAAAAAAATTATTTTTCAAATCTCCAATAATGTTATGCCACTTGTACATTATAATAAAATGTTTTTATTTAAATAAGTAACTAAAATAAAGTAATTAAATATTAATTACTAATAATTGACATAACCAATTAAGATGATTAATTACTGAAATATCTAAATAAGAAGGTAAATTAAATATTATTTTTTATTTAATTAAGTGATTAAATAAATAACTAAACAAAGTAATTAAATATTAAATAAAGAATATACATAATTAATTAAGATAATTAATTAATGAAATATTTAAATAAGAATTAAAATAAATATTAATTCTTTTATTTAAATAAGTGATTAAATAAATAATTAAATAAAGTAATTAAATTTTAAATACATAATATATACAACCAATTAAGATAATTAATTAATGAAATATCCAAATAAGAAATTAAATTAAATATTAATTTTTTATTTAATTTATTTAATTAAGTGATTAAATAAATAATTAAACAATAAATCAATAATATACATAGCTAATTAAGACAATTAATAAAAAAAATATTTAAATAAGAAATTAAAATAAATATTAATTTTTATTTAAATTTGTGATTAAATAAAGTAATTAAATATTAAATGAACAATATACATAACCAATACTATTTTTTACTTTCATAAAATAATTAGAAAATGTACTAGTTCTTATTTCCAGTAAGCCGAAACCCTATCAATCTTTTACATCTAAACATTATTCTCGAAATAATTGTTACTCATCGTGATCTCAATATTACACACAAAATTTGTTCACAGGATCGTAATCAGATAGAGACATGAGTCTGGTAGGAGTTCACATGCTGGATGGAGTACAGTTTTTTAATTTGCTCATAGGATCGTAATCAAACATGATCATAATTACTTTATTTAATTATTTATTTTAAAGACTTACTGAAATCAAAAATTAATATTTAATTTAATTTCTTCTTTAAATATTTCATTGATTATTTTGTTTATTTAATTAATTAATTATTTAGTCACAGTTGTATTCAAAGGTTGATCAACATCGACTGGCTTTCAAAGCCAAAATAATAAGGAATCAATAATTTGGGCGAAAAATTGCATGTCTTTCAACGGATAGAAGGACCATATGAATGATCGACGGAGTATGACTATATGTTCCTCATTGAGTCCTTCCAATACTGATACAACATAACTTTTCCCAAAATGAGCTCTTATGATATTGTCTAAGTAGTACTCCATTCTGCAAAATAATACACATTAAAAACATTTATAAGAAATTATCAACATTTATTATATTTTAAAATTTAACAAATCAAATTACATGCATTAGTACGTAAGAAATAAAATCGTTTCCTCGCACATTAAAAAGAGTAAATAAAAATTAAATAATACATAAATTGAATTAAATTAATGAAAAAAAATTAAATTCAAGAAAAAAAATACATACATGATTGAGCAAAAAAATTAAAAGAAGAAAAAAATGAAAAATAAATTATGGGAAACGAATTAGATTAGAATTTTTTTTTTAAATTATAAGATTCAAATTTTGTTCTCTAAAAAAATAAAAAAAAAATTTCCTGGCCGGCCCCCCGGACCTGAATGGTCCGGGTCTGGACCATGGTCCGTTATGGATTACACGAGTTCAGATCCGGATTGCTAGGAAGAATTTTTCGATTTCATTTTTATTTATTTTTGTGAATATTTTAAGAAGAAATTAAGTTAAATATTAATTTTTTATTGAAGTTTTGTGAATATTTTAAGAAGTAATTAAATTAAATATTAATTTTTTTTATTGAAGTAAGTGTTTTAAAAAAATAATTAAATAAAGTAGTTAAATATTAAGAAATGAAAGTGTTTGATTTTTTAATTTGTAACTTAAGGGTATATTTGTCTTTTAAAACAAAATTATGCCATTGTAATTTTATAAACAATTTAAGGTTATTTTTGTCTTTTAACCTAGAAAAGGCTATTGTGAAGATTGACAAAAATTTTGGATTAAAGTGGTGAAGTGGTCATTTGACCTAGCCATTCTTAAAAGTACCCCCATCGCTTTGTGCATAGCTTGCCTTCCTCAAATTTCTGTCGAAAAACAATGTAATACATTCACATATAAATGGGAGATTTTTTTATTTGGCCTGTCACTATTCTTTTTTATGGAAATGTCTATATTATTCTTAATGAAATGATTCTTTCTATATTGCAACATATGTCATAATCTTTTAAACATTTTATCTTCTGTTTACTCTATTTTGGATATTTGAATATAAAATCATTTTATGATCTAATAGATAAGAAAAATCCGCAACATATATATCATATTTTCTTAATAAAATACCATATTTTTCAAATGGTAAATTTGTATTTTTTAATTGAGATATAATATTCTTTATTTCTTCTAACATTCTTTCTAATAAATTATCTAATCCTAAAACTGTATATCCTGGCACTTATCAAAATAATCATCATGCAATTGTCCCTGCGATTCTTTTAAGATCTTAAAAAGATTCATTCTAATTTTAGCAAAAGTTTAATAGTTTTACCTTAGGTTTGATCT